CAATATGATGCCTCACAGTTCTCTATGAATCAATCATTCAATCAAGAGGCAATTATTAGGGGCTTAGTTTATGCCAGGTATTAAGTCTAGGCCTCACCTCTGAGAATGAAAAGACTGTTTGAGGCCACTGACAACACAGTGACCCTGAGCTGTCCAGCCCCACCACTCCTGCATGAGTCAGAGGAGGCCGTAAGGGGAAGTGAAGAATGGGGAAAGAAAATAAGCATTTCTGAAGTCCCTGCAATGTTCTAGGAACTGTGCTAAGCATCGGACAGATAACATTAGAGTTAGAAACGGAATTAGAGTTATTGGTAGAGTATACTGGTCAGTATTTGCCCAAGATCTATTCAATCTTCCATAACCAGGTGCTATGGGAGCCTGAATTGGAAGAGGCCAGGACAGACCCTAGCTGAGAGACCCTGGGGAGATATTACTGTATCTTCATTTGCAAACATGGTCATATTTTGCTGCCAAGGAATTTTCTAACTCTAAGCTCCTTAAAGAGCAAACAGGGTCACAAAACCTATTCCATCATATGTTATACAGTACAATTCTGTGTACCTCCTGAGCAGATGGTTTGGGGACTGACACAAGATGCTAAGATTTAAAGGTGCTGATCCCAATCATGTTCCTTAAGGAGATTTTTTTATTAAAACACTTATTGGTTCAGCCCTGTGATTTTATGCAAGTGGGGAGATCCCAGTAAGGAAATTGTCTCCAGCAATGCAGATCAGCAACTATTCTGCAGTATATAATCTTAGAGATTTACCCGGAACACTGAGACATTGACATGCCCAGAAAAACAATCTATTTGATGTCAGAATCAGGACTTTCTGACTTGAAGGACAGAGCTCTATCTACTCTAGCACACCGCCTACCAATAGCTACTTAGCAAAAGCAATGACTTAAAATAGGAAGCTACCAGGTGGTCTGTTTGTCCCATCCCTGCCCTTCAACTGATGACTTCTACAGCCTGGTTCCATCCATGAACCTGGCAGAGCCTTGTTGTGTCTGTAGACACGGTCACCCCTAAAAGTATTCGGAGATCTTAGATTACGTGGACCATCATTTCCCAAGATCCAAGGTTTCCTCCTAGCCTCACTTCCCCTGACACACATCCTCTTGCTCAACTCTATTTGCATTAAAATGCTGATTCCATGTGTCCTTTGGCCTTTTCAATGGGCACCTTTGGGAGTCTTCATACAGGGCATTCAGTTCATTGGTTACTTGTTTAATCCGCTGTTGAGTGCAGAGCCTGGGCTATGCCTTGGGAGAGGCACAAAGGTTCAGAACAGATCAGATCCCAGCTCTCCTGGACACATAACCTAGTGGCAGGGAATGTGGGGAAGAGGCCTATGGGAACCCTAATTCTAATGTCAAATACAACAGGTGATATAAGCATTAGTGCTGCTCAAACTCAGTTCTACATGTGATTTCAGGCAGGAAACAGCTCAGTTCTTCAATAATTACCATGGCTGACAACAGCTAGCATTTATATCATGATTTATGGTTTGGAAAGTACTTTATCTACATTAACTCATTTTATCCAGGTGCTATTTTCATCCCAATTTTATAAATGAGACAACTGAGGCTGAGGGAGGTTAAGTGACTTCCCCAGGGTCACACAGCTAGTCTGTGTCTAATGCAGGATTTAAAGTAGCACAAAACTCTTCTGACTCCAGGTCAATCTGCACTCAGCCACTAGAGTGATTTTTTCTAAACCTCAGGTCCACCAATGTCACCCCTACCCCTGCTCAATAAACTTTACTAAGTCCCTTTCACCTCAAATATAAAATCCTTTGTTTGGCATTCAGTGCCCTTTGGAGCCTAGCTTTACCACCCCTCCCACATTGCCAGGATTTTTACACTTTAGATCCTCTCGTATATTCTTTAATCCAGTGACCCTGGCCACTCAATCTCCGAGCTCTGGGCATTTTCATGAGATGGTTCCCATGCCTGAGATCCTCTCTCTCCTCATCTCCTCCTGGCCTCCTGCAAGCCCCAGGTACGACCTCAGCTTCTACAGGAAATCTTCCCCAATCCCCCTTACTTCTAGTGTCCTCATTCTGCTTATTATCTCCAATTTATCCTGTATACAGTTTGTTTGTACAGAGTGGGTGTGGGTCGGTGTCTCCCGCATTAGACTTTCAGTTCCTTGAGAGCATGGACTGGACTTTGCCCTTTATTGAATCTCTAGCATGCAGCACACTGCCTAGCACTTATAGACACTTAATCAATGCTGATTAACTGGCTCACTAAAGGGTGCACTTTATTATGTCTGTTTCTATTTTTCTTGTTCCACTTGAATGGTACAATGGATAGAGTACTGAAATTGTAGTCAGGAAGACATGAATTCCAATCTTGCCTGAGATATTCCCTAAATATGTGTGCCCATCACTTAACCTTTGTCTGCCTCAGTTTCCTTCTCTATAAAATGGGGATAATAATGTTACATACTTCCCAAGGTTATTATGAGGATCCAATGAGGTAACCTACATAAAGCGTTTCACAATCCTTAAAGCACTATGGAAAGTCAAACTGTTATAATTATCATTATTATCAGTCTATAAATGCTAGATGTTATTGTTTATGAGGTTTTTTGCCTCCACACATAGTTACTTATTGTTAGGGTGCCATGCGTAGCAGAGAAAGGTGAAAACTACTTTGTGTTCCTATTCAATAATCACTGGAGATCTCACATCTCTAACATTTTTCTAACTGTTTATTCAAGTCCTAAACTTCTCTGTTGTTTGTCTTTTCATGTATGTACATTAAGGTCTGCAACTGTGGTTTTTAATTTTTATTTTATTTTGAATTGACAAACTTTGATTTTCTCCATCTCATCACCACCATTAAAGAAAATAGAAAAACAAAACATGTGTAATAAGGAAGCATAATTAAGTAAAATAAATTCCCATATGGGTCATGTCTGAAAATGTGTGTATACATATATATAGATATACACTTATATATGTACATACATACACATATATGTGTATAATTGCTCATCACGATTTCCTCACCTCTCCATCATACTTCATCATCAATTGTCTGCAATCATAGCTGATCCTTGCAACAGAGTGCCTAAATTTTCAAAGTTGTTTCTCTTTATAATATTTTGTTATTATATGATTTAATCTCATGGTTCTGCTCACCCCATATCACAAACGCCTTCCCAGATTTCTCTAAAACTATCCTTTTCATCATTTTTTAGAGAATAATAGTATTCCATTACATTCATATACATAATTGTGGTCAACTATTACCCAATTTAGAGGCACCCCCTTACTTTCCAGTTCTTAACAGTATAAAAAGAGCTCCTAGAAATACTTTTATATGTAGAAATCCTTTCTTTCACTCTTATTTTAATCTCTTTGTGGTATTGGTTTGGCAGTGGTATTTCTGGCAGTTTGGTGACTATCAAAGCTTATAAGTGCTTTCCAAAGTGACTAGATCTTCCCTCAAACCCTTGAACATTTTTTAATTTTCCTTTTTTGTCGTATTTGCCAATGTCATGGGAGGAAGGGAGAACCTCAGTATTGCTTTAATATGTGTTTTGCTAATAATTTATAATTTGAACACTTGTTAATAGGTAAGTTGATACCTTGGATATATCCCTGTTCACATCCTTCAGCCATTTATCAATTGGGGATTAGTTCTTATTCTTATAAGTTTGAATCCATTTCTCAAATATATTCAAAAATGAGGTCTCCCACTTTTACTTTATATTTCTCCCTACAATTTTTTTAGACAATTGGGGTTAAGTGACTTGCCCAGGATCACACAGCTAGTAACTGTCAAGAGTTTGATCTGAGGCCAGATTTGAACTCAGGTCCTCTTGCCTTCAGGGCCAGTGTCTGCATGTAATAAGAGACAGAGACAGAGAGACACACAAAGAAAGTATGGTACATATGGAAATATAAGTAACATATGCTATATATAAATGATATTAATTTGCTTTTGGTATCTTTAAGGATAATGTTGTTTCCTTGCATATCTTCTTTTTTCATATCTATTATTTCTATGGCCTTTTCTAAAATCATGATGGCTACCACTGTTGTTGTTTTTTTTTTTTTAGGTCACCTGAAGCTTTATTATAGATTCTAATTTTACCTTTATGTGAATGTTTATAAATCAACGATATTTCTTGTATATAACATTTTGTTCGAATGAGATTTCTGATATATCGTACTATCCTCTTCTCTTTCATGAGGAAGTTCATGCCATTTATTCTCACAGTGATGATTGTTAGTTTTGTATTTTCCTTCATCTGTACTTGTACCTTTTCATCTCTGCTCCTTCACCCTTTTACAGAAAAGAAAGTAACAAAAGAGAAATTTGTGATGAGATTTTTTTAGCAACAAATCCAATAGTTTTTCTGGTTACTATGGATTAAAGGGTAAGGATGAACCAAGCACAGGCCTATAGGTTGTGACTCACTCCCACCAAATGCTAGTTGTACCAAAACCTATACAAATGGTCTTACTACATGCCAGGAGCTTTACTAAGTACTAGGGATAAGAATTAAAGTAAGAAAGACAGTTCTTTCGCTGAAGGAGTTTATGTTCTAATGGAGAAACAAAACAAATGGAGTATTACAGAAAGGGGGTTAGGGACATGTTCAGTGGCATAGTGAAGCAAGGGAAGGGAAGTGGCCTGGAGACATGGGTCCTAGAAGATAAAGCAAAATCTCACCTCTCACAGCTGATGAACCCAGGGACAGTGCAAAGTACTAGTAGGAATGTCCCAAGAGCAGAAGACATGGTTTGGAGACAGCTGGGAAGTAACATATTACTAGTGCATGCAGTAAATGATTAGTATTTGTGAGTTGCTAAGTTGAATACATGTCTTATCTGGAAAGGTTAGCTACTCCTTGTATAAGAGGTGAGTAGGTTGTAGAATGTTATAGGGAAATCTTCACTCTGGAAAAGTCACATTCCCCGTGTTTCTCCCCAGGTGACTTCGGATCTTACAGCAAAGCTCTTCAAGATGCCTAAGAAATGAGTTCTCATAGAGAAAGCCTAGAGATTGCCTTCTTGACTGTGCTTTTGTTTGGAGTACTGGGGAACCTGTTACTTCTTTACCTACATAGCCTGAAGTTCATCGCTGGTCACAGAAAAAGACTCATTAGCTTGATAATCATCAACTTGGCTTTAGCTCATACCCTGATGATTATTTTCAGAGGGATCCCCATAGTAATAGTCACTTGGGGATGGAGAGCTTTTCTAGATGACATGATGGAAAAAATCTTACTTTACCTCATAAGAGTGACCCGGGGAGTTTCCCTCAGCACCACCTGCCTCCTGAGTGTCTTCCAGGCCATCACCATCAGTCCTAACAGCCTCATGTGGGCAGGGATCAAAACTGGGACCTACAAATATATTGTTCCCTGCACTTTATTCTGTGGGATTTTCAATATTCCAATAGATGTCATAGTAGCTGCAAACATAAGTGATACAAGGAACAGCAGTAATGAAAGATGGAGGATTGCGCATAGCTCTTTTAACTTTCATGCCATAAATATCATAAAAATTGTAATCTCAAACTCAGTTGTTGATGCTCTGTTTGTGGGTCTCATGATCTGCTCCAGTGGCTACATGGTGTTTGTCCTGCACAGACACAGCCAGCAAGTCCAACACATTCACAGCGTCAGCCTCTCCCCCAGACACTCCCCTGAGATCAGAGCCACCAAAGCCATCCTGATGCTGGTCATCACCTTTGTCTGCTTTAACTCAGCCAGTTCCCCTTTCGTCATTTATATAGCTTCTACTAAAGCAACTAGGTACTGGGGGATGCGTTTCACTGTTGTCCTCTCTCTGTTTTATCCAATAGTTAGCCCCTTTATGCTAATCTGCATTGACACCCAAATGTCCAGGTCTTTGCGTGTTCTCTTAGGTTTGAAAAAGTTCAGCCAGGAAAAACTCTCTGGTTGATGAGAATTGTTGGAGATAATGGAAAGGAACTGGGCAAATAGGAGGAATAAGACATCCACTCCTTTTCTCTCCAGGATACACAGCACACTCTGCTCCACAGGACTCTCTCTACATTGGCATAGGAAGTTCTGCACCCTAGATCCCAAACAAAACATCTTACCTTTCCAATAAAACCTATACCTTTTTGTTTTTCCTGAATTCTCACAAAGGCACCACCAGTCATCTAAAGTTTCAAAGTTCAGAACCATCCTCATTTCTTCATTCACTCACCTCTCATACACGAATCAGTTGCCAAGTCTTGTTGATTCCATATTGGTAACATTTCTTATGCATTCCCTTCCTTCCACATCAAAGGACCCCATTCTAGTCCAGGCCCTTATCACCCCTTACCTGGTACTCTTGAGAGACTCTTCTTGTTTGTCTCCCTGACTCTAATCTTTTCCCATAGAACTGGCCAAGCAGTTACCAAATTAATATTTTTAGGACACAGTGTCTTAATTGTGTCTCTCACCTGCTCAAAAAGCACAAGTGGTTCCCTATTGCATTCTAGGTAAAAAAAAAAAAAAGCTTCCTCTAAATGTGAAATCTACATTCCTTCTCAAGCTGATTCCAGACCCTCCTCCCAATCAAATCTCATATCATTTGCCCTCATATAATCCAGATCCAAACTAAACTGGCCTGAATGTTTTTTTTCCCTATAAGATAGTTAGGTTCCTACTTTTTTATAGCATATCCCATGACTGGAAAGTACATTCTCCTTGACTCCGCCTTAGAGACTTCCTAGCTTCCTCCAAAGCAAAACTCAAATAGCTCATCCCACAAGACATTTTTCTTGGCCCCAAGAATGTTGTGTGCTTTCACAAAATGTTATGCTTTCATGTGCAAATATGCATGTGCACAGATATAATTACTTCACATGTGCTCTGTATGAATTATATATGTATTTATCTGAGTAAATTTGGGGTTTCTCCACAATAGAATGTAAGCTCCTTGAGAGTAGGTTGAATGTCTTTTTTTGTCTTTGTATCACCAAGGACTAGGACAGGACCTGGCATAAAGTGAGCCTTCAAAAACTGAATATTGAGGGACTTCCAGGGGTAAAGCCAAAATGGTGAAATAAAGGAAGCACTTCACTGAATTTTCCCAACATTTCCCTCGAAGCAACTACAAAATAACACCTCAAATTGCATTCTGGAGTGGCAGAGCCAGTAAAGATCAGGGTAAGATATTCTTCCAACCCAAGATCAATTAGGAGGTTGGAAGGATCTGTGACATGGAGAGAGGGGGGCAGTGACTAGCCGGGAGTTCACATGGATAAAAACACAGTAATGGGACATTATTGGGGCTAAAGAAGTAACAGCAACTTTGGGAGCTCTCAAGTCATATTTGGTAAGGAGATTTTGTAACTAGTGAGAGAGAGAGAGAGAGATTATAGGGGACTCCCTTGTGCTGGCTTCAGACACAGAACTGAACACTGTTTGGCAACTCCATTGCCTATACCCATTTCTAGGTCAAAGTTCAAGGGTAGAGTGGAACACTTTTGGTCAAGAGTGTACAGGCCTCCAGAGAATCAGTATCATTTGCAATCTAAAAGGAATAGGGGTCCTGAGGAGCACTATCGCTTTCAATCATCAGGGATGAGGGAATTTGAGGAGCAATATCACTTCCAGTCCCAAGAGAGCAGAGATCCTGAAAAGCAGTATCAATTGCAAACCCAAAGTATCAAGGATTTTGCATGGATAAGGACCAAGGCACAGTCCCAGAGACTAGTGACCACACTTCTTCCCAGACCACACCACCTTGGAAACACCAAAAACTTCCAAGCCCCCAGAACTATCTCTGATAACAGCAGTACAAAAAAGCCAAAAGCTTGGACGATGGCAGTCCTCCACATCTACCAGGAATAGAATCCAACTTTAACATAAAGTACAGAATCAAGAAATAGACTGGGAAAAGAGCAAACAACTAAAAAAGAAATTGACCATAAAATGATGATATGATGACGGGGAAAATCAAGAGACAAACTCAGAAGACCATAAGAATGCCAAAAGAAATACAAACTAAGTCTCAAAGAAAAAAGTGTGCATTGGACACAAACCCAATAAATTAACTAGCTGTGTGACCCTGAGCAGGTCACTTAACCCCATTGCCTAGCTAAAAAAAAAAAAAGAATGATAACTTTAAAACATCCATCAGAAATTCATTTTGAGATATAGGATAGTCAATCGTAGATGGAAGAATGGAGGTCAGGAGAGAGACTAAGTCTGGATAAATAGATTTTAGAAGCAGTATCGAGAAAATTCTGAAATCCATGGAAAGGTAATGATTTCAGCAAGTGAAACAGTTGACAGAAAAAAAAAGAAAAGATGACCCAAAAAAGGAACCTGGGAGACATACATCAACCACCCAGGGTGGACTCTGACATAGATTAAGACCCAGTAAAGGAGCCTGGGAAGGAGCAGTGAGATAGGTAGGAGAAGAACCACAAATACTGAAATGACAATCTAGAGAATTAAAAGGATCATGTAGACGGTAATCAACAAAGTCAAAGGCAGCTGGTAAATCCAGAAGAATAAGAGCTGAGTAAAGGCCATTAGAATAAGCAATAAAGTGAACATTCATAAATTTGGGGAGAGTAGTTTTGGTTGAATAACAGTCTCAGAAATCAGAGTGTTGAGAGATAAGAAAATAAGAAAAAAAGTGGAGGCACCTATTGTAGTCAGTTTTTCGAAGGAGTTTAAGCACAAAATGGAGAAGGTATGGTCAGAAAGGTAGTGGAGATAGATGAATCAAATGAGAGTGTTGTGAGGATGGGAGAGATATTGGCAAATCTGTAACCAACAGAGAAAAAGCCAGTAGACAAGAAGTGATAAAAATAATTGAAAGTGAGGATTATAGAGGGAATAATTTTATGGAAAAGATGGAATGCCATGCCATCACTTTTTTATGTAGAGAAAAAGGGTCACTTGATTATGGGAGACAGGAGTTTAAAGGGAGATAGTTATGGATAGCATTTTAGTGCTATGAGAGATGTGGAAAAGTGTGAAAGGAGAACTCTAATTAAATTTTTGTTACATATGATTAAAGATTTTCAGTTAAGAGGATGGGTATTGGAGGGCCATGGGACTTCTGAGAAGAGATGAAAATATTTGTAAAAGTAATGATAATGGGTCAATTAAGGATGTGTAAAAAATTTGCTTTGCCCCATTGAGGACTAAGTCTGTAAGATGGAACTTGAATTTAGAGCAGATTCTGTCAGCATAATTCAATGTTTTTTTTCCTCCTTCATTGAAAGAAACTTGAGTAGGATCAAAGGCAGAAGATGATTGGAGCAATCCATGGCTGAGTTTTTTATAGGGTAAGACCTGTGAAAAGACAAGAGGGAAAGAGATTTTAGAGATGAGGACAGTATATAGTTGAATAGCTTCATCAAAGAGGAGGAGATGGGGAAATGAAGCGAATGTAAGCAAGGAGAGAAAGTGTAAACCAAGCAATGAGAAAGAGTGTAAACCACGTAATGAACTCATTGAGAAAAATAAAGTATTATTTCTTGGTTAGGGAGAAACCAATATCAGAATTTAATTGTATGATAAATAAGGATTGACTAAAATGTAAAAGAGCAACAGTGACTGAGAGAGGGGAAAGAGGAAGAGCTTAGAAGTATCGATGATGGATTCAAAAGTATTTCAACATCCTCATCTTAAGCAACGAGTCAATGAGAATGAGTGAAAATGAAAACAGTGCTAGAAAGTTATGCAGAAAGAAAAAAAAAACTATTATCAAGAGAGAGCCAGTTCTCAGGAGGGGCCAATAGATGGACGGAGTGGGAAAGGAAAAGATTTAAGATGAAAAAAAAAATTTTTACCTATAGAGTAAGTATTCTGGAAAGCACAACAGGGTGAGTAACTTTGGAGTGAGGCATTGGGTTCTGATCTGGGGAGGTGAGTGGGGGTGGGAGGAATGTGGAGGGTGATAGAAACAAAGGCAGTGGAAATGGAGAACAGAGTTTGAAAAGTGATATCAGAATTTTCTGAATCACTGGAGTAGAGTGGAAATGATGAGATGACACTTTGTTCTTATCATTCGTTTTTCAGAAAGTCTCATTTCCAACAGAGCTTCTCTGAACTAGTTTTACTTACTCAGTAGGATTCCTAAGCTTATTACTTAGTCACAGGAGGTAGTCTCCAGATTAGAACTTCTAACATATACATCTGGATTTGTATTCTTCCCTTAGGACACATTGAGATGCATTGTTTCCCATTATCTGAGAAGAGTTTTTTGTCCAGGAGGAGGCAATACCAGTGGGCATCAGGCATAAATATATAATATATAACTAACCATTGAATTATGCTGACCTAGTCTACTCTAAATTCAAGTTCCATCTTATAGACTTAGTCTTCAATGGGGCAAAGCAAACACTTTACACATCCTTAATTGATCCACTATCTACTCACTATTGCTACTTTTCCGATATAAGTATATAACATAAAGAACATGTAAGAAAGGCAGCCTACATCCAGGGAGTCCATGATTTTAGCCAAAGTGTCTGTAGAACTACCCTTCTTCCTGTATGATTAGGAAAAGGAGAAAGGTTTAGAAAATTTATGTATATACAAAGACATTGTATTTGCCATTGAGTTGTAAATCCAGGCTCCTTGAGATAAGTTCAAGAAGTTAAGGCCGCCTACAGAATAACAGTACTTTGATTGTTACTGACTGTGCTTTTATTGTAGCCCTTCTGATGGGATTGAGCAACATGAGAGTGTATATAATAAGGGAAGAAATTAAGAGATCTTACCAAAGCCAGGGATCACGAGGCAATAGAAGTCCACAATGTCATAACATAGAAAAAAATGATACGTTTACTAAACAAGTATTTCCATTACCAAGACCCCATATATGTGGCTGGAAGTATTTACTAAGCAACTGAGAGGTGGATGGTCCCTGTGGCAGTGCAAGTGTCCTGGAGATAAGTTTAATCAAAGAACATGTAATTATTTTAGTCATAAGCATTTAATGAAATATGTTGCATACTACAAAAAAAATGTAGCACTAGAATACATTCACTGTGATCTTAAGGAATATTCTTTCACTCATAGACACATCATTAGTCCCCACAATGGGAAACTGTAAGTATAACAATCATAATTCTCTATATTTCTCCATAGGCCACATTGGATTTTATAGCAAATCATCCTCCTAAGGTACCCAAAGAATGGTTTCCAATTATGAAATGCTGGAGATAGTATACTACCAACTGCCTAGAGGTGGAATCCTAGGGAACTGTGTCCTCCTACTCCTCTATCACTCTCATTTCATGTCTCATCAGAGAACAAAACCAATAAACCTAAGTATCATCAGTTTGGCCTTTTCTGATGCCATATTGCATTTTTCCAAGGGAATCTCTACCTCAGGAAGGCTTTGGTATATGAAATGTTTTGTAGGTGAACTTGGGAAAAGCTGCTATGAATGTTTTTGTCCATAAAGAACCTTTTCTTCTGTCTTAGATTTCTTTTGGTTATAGATCTAGCAGCCATCAGTGGTATCTGAGCTCTGTCATTGCCTCCTTAATAGGGTCTATTTGTTGTACCTTTAGAACCAAACCTAGGTGCTTTTGGTGAGATTTTTAGTAAAATTAGATCTAGTTTTACAGTATAGTTGGAGCAATTTTCATAGATTAATCAACAGCGCATTCATGTGCTGATCTTCATCAAAACACTAACATTTCTTATTTTTTTTCTTTTATCATCATTGCCAGTCAAAATGTGGTGACATCAAATCTCAGAGTAAGTTCAAAAGGCATTTCTCTTATTAGTGATAAGAAATATTCTTTGTTACGGTTGTGAACAACTCAAAAGCCTTTTGCAAGCTGCCTGATAATACATGCTTTGATGACTTAAGTATCAGAGGAAAGATGTTATTTTTATGTATGTGTATTGTTTCTGTCTATACTTTAAACGTGAGAATTTTATCTTGTACAAGTGTTATATTTTCCGATGTCTCTAGTCAAGTATGTAGAGGAGAATGAAAAATGAATATGAGAGAGAGAAACAGTTGCAGAGAGACAGAGAAACAGACAACAGGAAGTAATGGCTGTTGAATAGTGAAGTCGGGGGGTTTAGCAGTATCAGAAGAGGGGAAGTAAAGCTGCACACAGGAAGACCATTAATGAAAGAGTCTCCACTTTTTTCAAAAATACTTAGAGATGCACTTAATGAGATAAAAAAGATTAGGAAACCAAGTAGATACCTCTTAACTGGAGACTTTCTAATCAGATTGTAGCCCATGAATATAATGAAATAGAAAATATGAATATATTAATATGATCTTAACAATAATAAAGCAGAACCACGAAATCAATATTCACAAAGATAACAATACTTTAAATTGTAAAAGAAATTATATAAGAATAAATAACAAATATTGCAAAATTTTAAATGCAAAGGTGTCTCAAAACAAGAAGTATCACAAAAGGCCCCTACCCTTTTACAGAAATGGGAGATTTACGAGTATGTTGTTGCATCTATCAAAATTTTGATGTGTTATTTAGGTTGATTTTTTTCTTTTTTTGATATTATTTATTATATAGATTGGCTCTATAGGAGAGGGAGAGATACTGGGAGAATCTCAGTGATGAAAAACAAAACATCAATAAAGTCCATTTAATATTTTTTTTAAAAAAATACTTGATAACCAATAGGGATAGTAACATCAAGAAAGGGTATTATGGGAAAGGGAAAGATATGAGAATATTTGCAGACAATACAGAATGAGCCAGTAGATTAAAAGCAGCAGAATGTAAAAAAGTTAGAGATTGTCAGGTGGGAATTGAATGTCGTGAATAATACTGGAAGACACAGAGTCAAAGATCTCTGACAATGGTTATTACTTTATTTTGAATTAAAAATGAGAAAATGTGCGAAGATATCCAAATGATACCAAATGAGCAGAGAAGAAGAAGTGGGAACATTCCATGAGTGACCACAATTATTCATCAGTGAGTTATGAAGCAAGGTCTCAACTAAGAAGACAGACAGATCTGGGGCTATGGGACACATGAGAAGAGATAAGAAGGTTACTTAGAGTAGCTACAGAGAAGAAGATACCAGTTAGAGTAGTGATCAGTAGAAAATTGACCTTGGTGCAATGTTGATTCCAAGTGAGTTTAGAAAACGCAATTTTGTAATGGACTAATTCAGGGAAACTTCCTGATTTCCTGTATAGATTTTCAGAGATATATGAAGAGGAGCAATAAATGCAGATTATAGGAGTCATTGAGGGGCAAATGAGTAAAGAATGCAAAACTAGATGATAAAGTAGAGTTTAGTTACTTTAAAAAGGGTATTTATGTGTAAGATGAAGGAAAGAAAAGAGTTTAGCTACTATAAGGATGAAGGTCAGAGAAACAAAAGGAGGATGGTAGGAATGAAGGTCACTGTTAAGAAAAATGGGCTCAGAGATATTGTTTTCGTTTTGTGGATTAGTTGTACCCAACTCTTTGTGACTCCACTTGGGAATTTCTTGGGAAAAATACTGGAGTGGTTTGTCATTTCCTTCTCCAGCTTATTTTCCAGATGAGGAAATTAGGGCAATCGTGATTCACTGGCAAAGCCAGAATCACACAGTTAGTAAGTGTCTGAGATTGGATTTGAATTCAAGTCTTCCTGATACCAGGCCCAACATTCTATTATTGGATGACCTTGTCAGGAGATCTTGAGGCCTAGGGAAATATGGAATGATAGAAGATTTTCATCTAAGATGGGAATTTGGGGGTTCAATAATAATTTACTACCCGCTGTCTGAGAAACTTTATTGCTGCTCATATGTGAGATCAGAAGGTCATGGAATTTCAGTGGGGAAATCTTAGTATGTAACAAGCATCATTTCACGTTTTGTCCATAGGTCCCATTGAATTTGACAGCAAATCATCTTCACAGTAAAAGTAAAGAATGTTGACTTTTGGTGAAATTATGGGGATGGTATACCTGCGACTAACTGTAGTTGGATGCCTAGGGACCTGTATCCTCCTCTTCCTAAATGCCATTAATTTCCTCATTGTTCAGAGAACAAGACCTAAACATCTCATTTTCATCCATTTTGCCTTTTCCAATGCCATGGTGCTTCTCTTTAGGGAAATACCTACTACAACAGATCTTTGGAGGGTAAAATGTCTCCTTCACGAAACTGGGATAAGAATCATAACGTACCTGCAGATACTAACCCAGGGCCTCTCCTTGGTTAGTATCTGCCTGTTGAGTGTCTTCCAGGCCATCACTATTAGTCCCAGCAACTCCATATGGGTACAACTCAGAATGAGAGCACCAAAGTACATCATCCCATGCATTGTCCTTTGCTGGATCTTCAATCTACTATTAGATGTAGTTATACTTCTATACTATGATGGTCAAAAGAACACCACAAACAGTAAGTATGTGTGCAACACTGGGTATAGAACTATAGATGTGTATAATGAGAATCATATAAAATTTGCAATCATAATATGTGTTCATGATGCTTTGTTTGTGTTTCTCATGACCTGCTCTAGTGTCCATATGATCTTAATCCTATATAGACACAAGAGGAATGTCAATTATATTCATAATAAAATCTCCTCCACAAAAATATCACCTGAAACCAGAGCGACCCAAGCTATCCTGTTTCTAGTGGCCACCTTTGTTTTGCTTAATGTATTCAGTCCAATTTTGATTTCGCATATGCTCTATTTTAAATACGTGAGCACTTGGATGTTGCATACCTCAGTCGTTCTCTCTCTGTTGTATCCAGCAGTCAGCCCCTTTATTCTGATCAGCATTGGCAACCAGATCCCCAGGACTTGTGTTTGTTGATAGTTTGAAAAGCTCTAGGGTCTCCATCACCCTGTAATGTAGATTCTCACAGAAAACCTATACAGTCCTAAAGACTCAGAACCCTTTTAGTTGTATGGAACACTGAAGAACATCCAAACAAGGCATTCATGAGATTCCTGAAATTGAAGTACAAGGATCAATGAATTATAAATATTTGCTTTCTCATCTCTAACCTCCTTTCCTTATTTGGCAGTTCCATGAAAATTCAACAGCATCTAAAGAATAATCATTCTTCTAGGAAAGGATTGTGGGAGTTTTCCTAGACTTATCTAAACTAAATCCTCTACCTTTAAATTACATTTCATTTCTCCCTTTGAAGTCACATCATTCCCAACAAGCCATGTGAGGGATCACATCTACTGGTGATTATGAATAATAATTATGATTATAATTATTATTTCTCCTTTATATCTCTTGGCTATACCCTTTACTTTAATCTGACTCTTCTGCCACTCTAGGGCAGTCCCTCCCCATCTCTTGCCAGGATCACTGCAATAGCCTGCTGTTGGCTCTGCCTGTTTCAGGTGTCTCCTCACTTAAATCCATTCTCCATTTGACCATTAAAGTGATTTTCTAACAGCTATGGTCTGATCATGTCACTCACCCTACTCATTGTACCTCTGTGACTTCTTATTGCCTCCGGGAACAAATACAAGATTCTCTGTTTAACATTCAAAACTCTTCATGACCAACCTCTCCTACCTTTCTAGTCTTCTTACAGAATATTCCCTGATATATACTTTTCCATCCAGTGACACTTACCTTCTTGTCTTTCCCCAAATAATGTACTTCATCACTCAGCTCCAAGCATTTTCCTTAGCAGGTCCCCATGTCTGGAGGGCCCTCCATCCTCTGCTGGAACTGCTGACCTCTGTAGATTCCTTTAAATCCCAATTAAAAACCTTCCTGCCCTAGCCATTTGAGATATCAAACTATATTACAATGATAGATAACAAAATTACAAAAAAAATAAAAATATACAGTAATCATGTAAATCTGGTACTGGCTTAGAAACAGAGTAGTGGATGAGTGGAATTGATTAGGTACACAATATACAGTTGTAAATGAATGGTAATACCAAAGATTTAAGCCTTAGGGGTGCAAACTCATTATTTGACAAAAATTGCTGGGAAAACTGGAAAACAATTTGGCAGAAATTAGGTATAATCCAATATCTTACCTGCTATACCAACATAAGGTTAAAACAGGGTACGCTATAGAAGTAAAGGGTGACATAATAAGCAAATTAGGGAAGCTGGGAGTAATTTACTCATCAGATTTATAGCTAAGGGAAGAATTTATGACTACAAAAAAAAGATAGAGAAGATCACTGAGAGTAAAATGGGTAGTTTTGATTATGTGAAATTAAAATTTTTATATAAGCAAAACGAATGTTGCCAAGATTAGAAGTAAAAGAGAAAACAAGTAATAATTTGTATACCAAGTTTTTTTGAAATATATTGGGAACTGAAACAGATTAATAAGTATAAAAGCCATTCCACAAATGATTGTAAGGGGGTATGAACAAGCAATTTTCAGAAGTAGAAATCATAAGTCTTTATAGTCACATTAAAAAAATTCTTTAAATTACTATTGATCAGAGAAGTGTACATTGAAGCAACTCAGGTTCCACTTCACATCTATCAGATTAGGTAGTCTGATAGAAAAGAAAAATAACAATTACTAGAGGGGATATGGAAAAATTGTGACACCAATGTACTGGTGGTGGAGTTGTGAACTGGTCCAACCATTCTGGAAAGGAATTTGGAGCTATATCCAAAAGGCATTAAAATGGTACATACACTTTAACCCAGTAATACCACTACCATGACAAAGATATCAAGGACAAAAGAAAAGAACCTAGATGTACAAAATATTTAGAACAGTTCTTTTTCTCATGGCTACTAATTGGAAACTGAGGGGATGCCCATCAATTGGGGAATAGCTGAACAAGTTGTGGTAAATAATTTTGATGGAATACAATTATGTTTTAAGAAATGACAGTGGGGATAATTTCAGAAATCTTAGGAAAGATGTATTAACTGATGCAAAATGAAGTGAGCAGAACCTGGAAATAATGAAAACTCTGAAAGACTTGGCTATTCTGATCAGGACAATGATCCAAAACAATTTCAAAGGACTCATGATGGAAAATATTATCTATCTGCAGAAAAAGAACATGATGTCTGAACAAAGGTTAAAACAATTTTTTAAAATTTCTTTATTTTTCTTCCTTTTTTTTGCGCCATGGCTAATATGGAAGTGTTTTGCATGACTTCACACGTATAGTTCATATTACATTGTATGTCATCTCAATGGTTGGGGGTGGGGCAGGAGGGAAAAAAGACAATTCACCACTTATAATTTTTTTAAAATGTATTTTTATTTTTTTAAACTGTATTTTAAAAAATAAATATGTAATGTATTTATTTTAAAGATATAAAAAAAAAATTTCACTATCTGCAGGAAGCTTTCTGCAACTTTTAATTTAAAGGCTTTTTTTTCCTGTTGTTTATTTCCTATTTATCCTGTATATGGCCTCCTTTTATATATTCATTTAATTTGTCTCCCTTATTATATTGTAAACTTCTTGAAGTCAGGAACTGCCTTTTGCCTTTTAGCACTGTGACTCACACTCAGTAGGCCCTTAATAAATAAAGACTGATTGATTGACCATGGCCCTTATGGGAATGACTTATTAAAATGAAGCAAGTGAGATAAAATTAAGAATTGAAGATTGTGTTGAAGATTTACTGTCTCCCATAGAACAAGAACCAATAATGGGCAACATAAGCCTTCTCTATCACACTGGAGCTCAGGATCTTCTGCTGGTTTGCTGAGGTAGGGCTTCCTCCTGGCTTATTGTGATGCTTCCCATCCTGGGCAGTGCTCCCCTTTCACCTGAGTGAGACAGATCCTTCTTACTGATCCTCCAAGTTTCTTGGGCTAAAAGATTGTTCCACCCCATCCCTTTACAGTTTTTTTTTATTCCAGGATTTGTTTTGGGGCTCTATTTTATGGTTGTTTGGAAATGAATGTGGAAGAGTTGCAGTGGTTTACTGCTTACTCCACCATCTTGGCTCCAGGAAGTGTGTTTCCTTTATATTACCTTTGACACTTTTTTAAACTTGTCTCCTTCAAATTCTCTTCTTTCTCTGTTTTTAAGACAATGCTCTTGTTACTTCTCATATCTTTATGATCACTCTTCATTCTCTTTTGATGGATATTCATTCACTTAGAAATTATTAACCATAGATACCAGCCACATGAAGGGTCTATTTTATGTTTTTTTTTCCTGGATGTACCATTTCACTTGGGGATCTCATCAGCTCTCATGAATTCAATCCTCATTTCCATGCAAATGATTCTCAAATCTATTTAGCTAGTCCTAAGATATCAACTGACTTCTGATCTCTCATCATCAGCTGCCTATTAGACATCCCATAATGCATTTTAAGCATCTTAAACTCAAAATTTTGAAAAATGAACTCTTTATCTCTCACTCTCTCTCTTTCTCTGTCCCTCTGTCTCTCCCTACCTCCCCCCTCTCTGTCTCTCTCTCTCTGTCTCTGTCTCTCTCTCCCTCTGTTTCTCTGTCTCTCTCTCTCTCTCCCTGTCACACACACACACACACACACACACACACACACACACAATAACACTCCTCACTTCTCTCTTCAGGGAAGATGAGTCTTTACACCAAATCAGACTTGGGGGTGAGAGGAGTTACACTCTCAACTGGAGGTCTGGGAGGATCATGGTGTCTTAGACTCTAACAGGAAAAGATGAAGGAGGGCAGCTTTGAGGCTAAAAATAATAAGTTTGATTTTGAAGATGTTAAACTTAAGATTCAGTTTGGCATATCCAATATGCAGTAGAAGCTGTGAGACTAGAGTTCAGAAAACATATTAGGACTGGATAGATAGATCTCAGAATCATCTGCAGAGAAAAAATAATTCTATCCATGGAGCTAATGAGACCACAACATAAAAACAGTACAGAGGAAAAATACCAGGTAGACCAGGACAGAGCCTTTGGGGACACCTAAGGTTTATTGACACAGCTTGGATGCATCATAGCCAACAAAGGTGATTGACAAGTGAAGTTGGAAGTCAGACTTATGAAAATTAAATGGAGAGAAAGATATATATGTATATATATATATAGATAGATAGATAGAGAGAGAGAGAGAGAGAGAGAGAGTGAGAGTGAGTGGATATTAAGTGTAGACATCAATTTAAGTGGTATTCTCAATGAGTTTGTCCATGAAAAAAAAGATATAGGAATAATAATGCCTAATATCTTCCAGACACTATGCTAACTTTTTGTTTTGTTTTGTGCTGTATTTTGTTTCTTTTTTGTTATTGTTTTTTTTTCAAATATTACTTCATTTGATCCCTTGAGAACTCTGGGAAGTAGGTATTATAGATTATTTTTGAGGAAACTGCAAGAAATAGGAATTTAGGTGACAGTGTCTTTTCCAATACTGTTTCACCTTATACTTACTCTTCAAGAAAGAATGGTGAAAAGAGCCACTCCTGTAACCATCTAATCATGTGCCTTCTATCTCATGCTGCTCTTATCTACTACTTGATCACTAATCTCCTCTGGAAACGGAGTGGTACCTTCCATTCAAAGATGAATGTTTTCACAAACTGTCACACACTATGCATCCCAATCATTCAGAACACTTGTTGGTTATCATTCAAACCCCATGGCCCATTCTCCACCTCCCAATTCATTACTCTGATCCCTCCAAATCTTCCCACATCAAAGTCTCACAAAAGTGCCAAAGACTGCTGTGCCCTTTGATATGCCTTTTCCATAGGCAAGAAACTTCCTTTCATCCAAAATCTTTTTTTTTCTCACTCGTTTCATCTTCAGTCACAGAAATCTACCTCTCCCTAGATGACACAGTCTCCACGGCCACCCTTTTCAGTACTAGTTCTTCCTTCACTCATTTCCCTTGGCTCATTCTT